CACGGTGGCGCCCAGTGGCTGGCGGCCAGCGTTCTCTGCATGGGCCGTGCTTGTCCATCACCCTGAGAGCTCTTGGCCTGACCCAAGGCCAGGAAGGTGTTTGTCCTGTCCCTTCTAAAGGTCGCAGTTAGGCGTCATACATTTCCGTCTGTGATCCACGTGGAGCTGAGGATCTGTTTGGGGCTTATGAATGTTTGCTGTGTCCACAGAGTCTGGGGACAGGACTACTCCTTCTCTGGAAACGGCCTTCTTAATGCTGCTTCGCGGGGGTGGCGTGTTTTGCCTGTTCCTATTCCCTGTATCTGAACCCGCCCTTCACAAGCCCATCTCACCGTTGACAGTGCCGTGCTGACCTCTCATCTCTCTCCTCCGCCTTTCCAGTCACACCAGGAACTTGCAGGCTCCTGCGTGGCCTGGAGCCTGGATCCCACCTCCCTGGACGCCACCCCCACATCCACCCTGGGGCCTCCCGGGGCTTTGGGCGCCTGCCAGCACCTTTCTCTCTGGAGATGCTGTGCTGAGTTCCTGGGAAGGACCTTCTGTGGGGCCCTGGTGCCTGGTGGCTGGCCCCACCTGATAGCAAGACCACTGCTGGGAGCGGGGTCTTACGTACGCATGGGGGGTAAGATGAGCCCAGACTCCTGGTCCTGTACACCTGAGTTTGTGTTCCAAACCTACCACTGTGTGTGACGTCACCTTCCTGAGCTGCTATGCCCAACTTAACACGCAGGGGACAGTGCTATCCCCTTAGTTGAAGGACAGACACCGATGGTGTCTGCAGAGGACCTGTGAGGCTCCTGGGTCCCCCTGGGCTTGCATCTGGAGGGGTCTCAAGGACCCAGTGGAGGTTTCCGAGGCTTCAGAAGGACAAAGGCAGGGGGCAGCTCCAGGCCCCACCATCTCTCAGAATCAGAGAGGAGGAAGGCAGGTCCTGACACTGTGGCCCCAGGTCCTAGAGGCTCATTGGTGACAAAGACCAGAGTCCTGGACCTAGACGTGAAGGCAGGCCAGGGAGCCACGCCTGCGGCAGCAACTTGGCCCAGAGTTTTACCATCCAGTGGACAGGCCCTCGCTCGTGCCCGGGTTTCGAACATCATGAGGGTTTCTGTCCTCCTTACCTGCTTCTGCCATTTCAGTCCCTCCGGATGCTCCGGCCTCCCTGATTTCAGGTTTGTCCTAATGCTCCGACACCTGCCCCTGCCGAGGTTCTCCCGGGCCGCACACCCCGGTGCCCTCCACC